CCTCCTTTCTACTTGCGAAAATACACGTAAGGATCAAACTCGCTCTGAGTGTACGAATGACCAATCATGAAACCATCAAATCGCCTATACCACTGTCGAGGATATTGCTTCAAACCGTATAGCGATTTCTTCAACCTACAAACCAACTTATCCTTCCCTGCAGCTCGGAATCCCAACGATTGAGTCATATATATTTCTTAATCAAGATCATCATGAAGAAATATCATCTTCACATCCAACTGATCTAACTTTAAACCATACTGTACCACCAAAGCTAGCAAAATCTGAATCGAAGAGTGCTTCACCACAGGAGAGAAAACCTCGTTATAATCAATACCTTCCTCCTGAGCATAGCCCTTCACAATCAACCTAGCCTTGAACCTCACTAGAGCTCCTTCAATGCCCTCCTTCTTCATGTATACTCACTTGCAACGAATCGCCTTCCGCCCATTTGGAAGCTCAACAAGCTCTCATGGATCATTCTTATGAAGAGACTCCATCTCCTCATGCATAGCTAACTGCCACGACTCAGCCTCCAGACTCTACTCGGTATCTCTAAATGTAGTAGGCACCAACTCATCGATACTCTCCACCGGAAGTGCATACGTAACTACTGTGTCGGTATACCGTGCTGGCATCTGTATGTCTCTCATCTATCTCCGAATCGCAATAGAATCCTGAACCTTAGCCGTCGGTCCCTGATCCTGCACATCTATACCTGTATCCTCCTCGTCGTTATCGTGCTCACCTAGCGTCACCTCAGTCGGCACTCTAATAGATATTATACCATCTGGACAATGTGGAGTGGCATCGATCTCTACCACCAGTGATATCTTCTCTGTTGGGTCGCTCTCCACCTGATGAGAGCTGGGAAGCTTTAAGATAGAAGCCTCATCAAATGTGACGTCTCTACTCAGCACAATCTTCCTATCAACTGGATCCCATAGCTTGTATCCCTTGACATCATCCTTGTATCCTACAAATATGGTCTTTCTAGCTCGATGTTCTAATTTATCTATCTTCACATAATAAAATACAGGGCACCCAAATACCTTAAGGTGGTCATAGTCGTGTGCTAGCTCTCCCGACCACATCTCCATAGGGGTCTTCCCCTCAATCTCAGATGAAGGCAGCATGTTAATGAGGTGGCTCACATATGATAGTACCTCAGCCCAAAAGATCTTTTCCAAACCACTCTGTGATAATAAGCATCGGACCTTCTCCAGTAAAAACCGATTCAACCTCTCTGCCACCCTATTTTTCTACGGTGTATGACTAACTGTGAAGTGTCTCTCTATGCCCTCGTCTCGACATAGCTGCTGAAAGGGGTCTGATGTATACTCGCTGTTGTTGTCGGATCGCAACATCTTGATCTTTCTCCCAGTCTACAATTCTAATCTCTTCTTTCACTCTACAAATAAATCTAGGACTTTACTCTTCTTCGTCATGGTGCACACCCAACAATGCCTAGAATAGTCACCAACGAATATGACGAACCAATATCGACCACCAAGTGATGCCGTCTTGATGGGACCCTAAACATCTGTGTGCACGTAATCCAGGATGCCCCTCGTCCTATAGATGGTTATCCTGAACTTCACCTTTGTCTTCTTGCCAAGAACAAAATGCTCACACAAATCAATCTTCCAACTCTTGGCTCTCTTTAATAGCCCCTGCTTGCACAAAGCCTGCAGTGACTTTTCTCCTGTGTGCCCTCACTTATAGTGCCAAAGTCTACTCATGTCCACCTCTGAAATAGCTGAAGCTACCAACCTCGGTGTTTCCCTTCAGATAATACAAGTTTTGACTGCGGACTCCCTTCATCGCCACCAATGATCGCTTAATAACCTTTGCTACAACATCCTCAAAGGTTACCATGAATCCCTTTGCCTCCAAAGCTCCAACAGAAATAAGATTCTTCTTCAGCTGTGGAATAAATCTCACTTCTTTTAATTCACGGACTACTCCATAGTGCATCCGGATCCTCACGGTACCTATCCCACAAATGCCATAAGATTGATCATTTCCCATGATAATAACACCCCCATCGAGTCTCTCAAATGATACAAACCAATTTCGCCTAGGGGTCACATTATAAGTAGTGCCAGAATCAAGCATCCAATCTGATGCATCCACATGGTTCACCTCCGAAGTAATCAATAGAGAAAAGCTCGGATCATCGGAATCATCGCCTTTTGTAATATTCACCTCATTAGCCTTCGGGCCCTTATTTTTGTCATTCTCCTTCTCTTCGAATTTCGAGCAGCCTCTCTTCTAATGTCCTTGTTCCTTACAGAACACACAGTGGTTCTTAGCTAACTGGTGATGGCCTCTAGACTTTGACCTGTTCCTATTATCACCTCTCAGATATGGGCTTCTACCTCTCGTCGATAACGTCTCTCCTGAAATACTAGCGTGGGAAGTCTCCTTGTCCTTCCTCCTCAAATCATAGTTCGTCAAAGCATTAGTAACTTTACTATATGTGATAGAAGATCTCCCGTTCAACAAAGTAAGCACGAATGTATCATACTCCTCATCTGGTAAGGAGCCCAAAAGAATAATAGCCTTGTACTCATCCGTAATCTTCTCATCCACATTAGCTAAGTCCGACAACAACTTAGTGTAGTTATTCACATGAACTGCTAGTGAGGTGCCCCTAGACATCTAAAATCTAAACAATCTTCACAGCAAGTACAAACGGTTCTCAACACTCTTCGTTAGGTACTTATTGTTGAGAATCTTCCACATCTTCATTGCAGACGACACTCCAATCACATCATACTTCAGCTCCAGTTCCAAACAGGACCTGATCACCCCACAAGGGTTCATATTCATCTTTTCCCATACCGCTTTTTCATATTTTTGGTGGCCTCTCATGGACCATGATGGTCTCCTCCAAATTTTGAGTATTGAGCGCATGTTGTACGTCGCTCATCCGCAAATCAAAATTGATCTTGTTGTTATATTTAACCACACTAATTTTACTGTTCTAAAAACCAACTTGAACTATACCTGCCATCATACTGTTTTCACCAACTTCTTCTCCCATACTCACAAACTCCAAATTGTAGAGGAAAAAAAATTCAAACTTGATAGAATTTAGAAGTTACCTAACTGAACCCTAGAACGGATTACAAATAGATCTCCTAACCATATAAGGGAAGCAAAATCTTAAACGGCAACCCCAAACACTATCTCCACCCGAAGCCTAGAACTCCAAGAACTAAGCTTCCACGACGAATCTTCCTCCACCTAATGCCAAAACGCTAGATCTGAAATCTGAGCTCTGATATCAATTGTCGCGCGCCTTTGCAGAAGCGTGCTCGCACACCGAACGAGTTCGTGAGGCACGAGAGAAGATAACCAAACCAAACACGAGTGCAATCCAATCCAAAATACGACAAACCAATCGCAAACACAGAGATATACGTTGTTTGGCAATTTGCCTACGTCCACGGGAAGAGGATGGGGAGATTCCACTAAATCAAGGAGAGTACAAAGGGTTACAGATCTCTCAAACACTCAAACTAACTCAACCAAAAGATCTCTCAACTTACTTACAAATTCTCCCTCTCAATATGCTCAGAACACTCTAATCTCTCCTTAGGAACCCTAGAAAATCGTGTTTTAATATATACCAAAACACAATCCCAAAGCAAATAGGAAACAACGCCCAAGGCCCAGCATGACACACAGTCAACCACGACGGTCGACCGAAACCAATGATAGAACCCAGGAAACCCGCCACAGTCGACCGCAACCAATCGACAGAAACTAAAATCCACTACAGGGTTTGGCGGTCGACCGCGGCGATCGACCGCACCAAGTCCAGAAAACCACGCAGGCTTTTGTGCACATTTCCGGCCGACCGCGCTTGCCTCGCGGTCGACCGTCGGAGATCCAAACATGTATTCTATTTTTCTCTTCATTCTATAAGTTATAGATTTTAAATTAACGGATTTTGGGTTTAAACACATTAAGAACTGTCTTGGCTAATATCTCCTGAGAATGTTATATTTGAGAGTAGATTCCCCTCAAATTTAATGTTAACTGGCTTGAGAGGCCAACTTACGAGGGTCCTTAAGGATTTAAAAGATGTATGAGTATGAGCAATTAGATGCTACCACCAAATGAATGACAAGCTAAGTACAGTACTCTGTTAAGCAATACAATTAAGTGTAATGAAAGTAACTAATCAACTTTATTCCCAAAAGAAGAGAAGTCGTGATGTGGCAGTCGCCAGCATCATGACACATTTTCTTTATTTTTTTAAGGCAAACAATATGGGGAGATGCCCTATTCAAAAGATTTTATAAAGTTAAGCCTCCAAAGAGATTATGCAAAGATTAAACATGACACACTTTCTAATCAGGAGCTCCTTAAAAGATTGAAAGGCTACCTTTACAATTCTATATTAATTCACATGGTTTAAAGAACTCACATGTGATTAGAGAAACGTTAATTGTATACTAGTAGTACTTTATTTTTATTTGTTTTTTATGGAATAGTACTTTATATAACTAGTTATACGAGTTGTTTTACATAACTCGATCTAATGAGCATCACGAAATGTTTCGAGTATCCATTTACAGCATTTTAGATATAAATTGAGGGAATTTGACCCCCAGGGTTGAGCTATTGGGCCGTACAAAAGGCCAAGAGCCAAATTAAGCTCAAGGCTTAAAGTTACGCGCATACGTGAACATCCTGAAACATTTCGTACCATATTAGAAGAGCAGTCAGAGTCAGATGTGTATATCATTAAAAATGTTCCGACTTGCGATCCAATCAGGATTAATTGTTTTTAGTGGTTTCGAATCCAAACAGATTAGCTAATTTGATCTATCTTCATGCATGGGTTTACAGCCTAACAATTTAATTGTTAGAAAATTGTGCGATAAATAAAATTTTCTAATTTTGAAGAAGAAAAACATGTGTACGTTCAGGTAGAAATTCATCACTTTTATTAGAGCATTCAATTGGTAAATGTTTAAAATTACCTGGACAACTGCAGGATGATCGCGACGGGTGTAGCTCTTCCATTTCTTAAAAGCATCGCATTCTTCAGCATTGTTTTCCAAATGATCACTACGAACATAACCCTTCTCCATCACATTCTCAACGTTTTCTTTCATTTTCTCGTACATCATCTACATAAGAAATAATAAATTTTTGCAAAAAGGAACATTTTTCAAGCAAATGAAATGATCCATGCATGTTCAAAAAGGAAGAAGGAAGTTGCTATGTTTAAGATTGATTTTGCAAAAGCCTTTGATTCCATTGACTGGTTATTCCTCATTGAATTGTTGAAAGCTAGGGGTTTTGGTAACAAATGGTGCTCTTGGATTCTTCACATTATATCATCCTCCTCTTGTGCAGTTCTTGTTAATGGCTCACCGACTAAATTTTTCTCATGCAAACGTGGTCTCAAGCAAGGTGACCCTCTTTCTCCAATGTTATTTAACATTGCCGTTGATGTCTTGAATAAAATGATTATGAACAATGTTGAGGAGGGTCTTTTATCATCTCTTGGGCTCAAAGAACCTCTCAATCAACTAAGAATACTTCAATTTGCCGATGATACTCTTCTTTTTGCTAAAAGCTCTTTTAAGGATATCTCTATTCTTAAAACTATTCTCTATATTTTTGAAGACATTTCTGGATTGAGTATCAATTACTCAAAATCATCCCTCATATATTTCGGAAGATATCCTTACAAAGCACAAAGACTTGCATCTTTTTGGACTGTAAAGTTGAATATTTACCTATTAAGTATCTTGGTCTACCTCTCAAATATGGCAAACTTGCCAAATCAAATTGGCAACCCCCGTTAGATAATCTTTATAGCAAGCTGGCCTCCTGGAAAAAAACTTCTCTATCGTATGGAGGTAGACTGATACTTTTGAATTCAGTTCTTACATCAGTCCCTCTATACTATATGTCTTTTTATAAGCTACCTATATGGCTTTCCAAAGAAATAGACAAAGTTAGAAAAAATTTTCTTTGGACAGGCAAAGCAGATTCAAATAACTTCAAATGTTTAGTGAGCTGGAAAAAAGTATGCTTAAGTAAAAAAGAGGGAGGTTTGGGTGTTAAAGACATCAATTTATTCAATTACTCCTTACTATCTAAATGGTTATGGAAATGTATGGACAAAAATTCTTCAACTGGAATCTTTATCCACAATTTATATGCACCTGAGGGTTCTTTCTTGCAATCCAGGAATTACAATGCATCTAATTCATCTTTTTGGAATTCTGTTCTATCTATCAAAGATGCTTTTTTCCATAACATTAAGTGGTCTATTGGTTCTGGAGATAATGTAAGATTCTGGGAAGATAAGTGGGTAGGATTTAATACCCTTGCAAGTGTTTTTCCAGAATCTTATAGGCTAGCCCTCTCCTCTAATGTTCCTATCAGTAGCCAAGGTAACTTCTATGACAATGATTGGCAATGGCATTTGCTGATGAAAAGAAGTATCTCTCCAGGAGCACAAGCAGAAAAATGTCTATTCTGAATCTTATCAGGGACTTTCATGTATCTCCCAACTATGATCAACCCCAATGGAATCTCACTCCTAATAGACAGTTCTCTGTCAAGTCTTTCTACAGCTTTCTTAATCAAAGAGGAGTTATCAACCCCTTGTACAAAATTATCTGGAATCCTATTGTCCCCTCTAAAGTTCGTATCTTTCTTTGGCTCCTTACAAAAAACAAATTGCATACAAAAGATGTTCTGCAACTAAAAGGTTGGAATGGAGATTTAGCTTGTTCTTTCTGCGGTCTTGTACCAGAGACCAGGGAACACTTATTCTTCTCATGCCCTATAACCGTGAGAGTCTGGGAACACTTCAGGATCTACTACTCACCTTTTAATTGGCCAAGTACTTTGGATGATCTCTTGCTCAGTCTTGAAAGTCTGCATGAAATTCAAGGGCTTCTTTGGCGTATTTTTCTTGCTGCAGTCTGCTGGAATATATGGACATCAAGGAACAAATGCATTTTTGAACGAGCTCCTTTCTCTTTCAAATCTATTATTAACTCTACAATATCTGCTATAAATGCTTGGGCAGGCTCTGGAAGTGGATTAGCATCACAGAAGATTAAGGTCAAACTGGAGGAAGACCCAATTCAAAGAAGCACCTGATATTAGAGAAGTGATGTGGCTGATCCTTTTTGGGGTTTTTGTAAAACTTTCCTATATGGTTTTTTCTTTTTATATCTATTGGGCTATAGAAAGCTTAGTTTCTCTTTTCTATATATATGGCTGGCTTTTGTTCTTTCCTATATCTGTGTCAACGGTGAATGACGGCAAGGCCCTCTCTTCACCTTCATGGATGTTTGAAAGAAGAAAGTTATATATCACTAGTCTTGAGAAACTACTTTTTCTATCTTCCAATACATGGATACATTTCGTATCCCACTTTTGTAACAAATCTTTTTTATAATATAAATGACAGGGTATATCCCTTGTTTTTTGCTAAAAAAAGAAATAATAAATTTTCTTTTGAATAACCATGAGGAATAATATATTACACAGTTAAGTTAAATATAAGTAGCCTCAGCAAAGGTAAATAGTTCATTAATTTATCACTTTTTTTTGGATGAAAAACTTTAAACTTGTATAAATCATGAAGAAAAATCAACTTGCTTTCTCCAGTGACAGTAACACTTCCTCTCAAGTAGTCTTTTCCCAAAAGCTCATCAACTTGCTTTCTCCAGTGACTGTAACACTTCCTCTCAAGGTCTCATGCATTCAAACGTATGGCAGTGGCACCCAATCTTAAAAAGAGGCTACTCACAGGCTCATAGGCATGAAATCTCTAATCTCTTAAACACTCTAGCTCATTTCTCTATTTCAGGTAACCTCAGTCATGATAAGATCATATGGCCATTTCAAGCTTCTGGAACTTTCTCTGTTAAATCCTTCTATGCTAGCATCACCCATGGGGGAGTTATTTCGAGCCACTTCAAATCTATTTGGAAGTCCCTTGCTCCACTGAAGGTGAAAGTTTTCTTTTGGCTTGCTAGTAAACTTAAACTGAATACCAGGGATGTTTTGTTGTCCAAAGGATGGTCTGGCACTCCCTTCTGTCCTTTTTGCAATGGAGATCCAGAATCCCAAGACCACTTGTTCATAACATGTGCTTTTCCCTCCCAAGCATGGTCTTCCCTCCTCTTCCTCTTTCCATCAGATTCCAAGCCATTGCACCTGGAGGATATGATCTCGGCAAATAAGCAATCTTTTGGTCATGATCTTGCAACTATCTGGAATATTGTGCTTCAATGCTTTTGTTGGTGTATATGGAACAGTCGAAATAACCTCATTTTCAACGGCATTGCAATTTCTCCACTCCAAATTGCCGCTAATGTTGCTAGATTCATCTTATTTTGGACAGGCAGCTCTGCTTCTAAATCTGGGATCAAGCAGCATAAGGCGGCCATCAACTTGGGATTCAAGAAGATAGCTCAAACACACATGGAGGCGGCGGTGGATGACAACTTCTCAGTAACTAATTGATCATCGGCAGTACTTTGGGTTGAAAATGAAAGGATGGTAAGAAGATTCCATAGGGCGGCTATCCTAAGGGAGTTCCAGGCACTTGTGAAGTAGCTAGCGGCAGTTTATGTGGGCGTCTACTTTTCCTTCTGTTTGCACTGCCTGGTTTCATAGCCTTCTTTATATTTTCTGTTTTGGAGGATTTGTACTGTGGTTTGTGTTACCAGGTGCTCAATCACATAGTTGTCTTCTCTTTCCTCTTTTTTTTGTAACAGGGAACCTCTCCCTGTCTTTCAGTCAAAAAAAAATCATGAAGAAAAATCATAACTTGCCCATTAGACTACAAAGCTCAGGAAATTAAAAAAACATCATATAATTGTCGATTCTCCTTGAATTTAATCTAAACTAGATTTTTTTTCTAATTAATAGATTCAAATTTCTTAGGTAACATTTTTTGCTTCGTTATCCTTATGTACGTGTATGCTTCAATGTTTTTAGAATAATCATCCATATTACATATTAACCATTTTATTTTATTTTTTTTGATGACTAACCATTGAATAATTTCAGCTGACCAAACTTAGATACCTGCTCCCAAATACAAACTTAAGGAAACTTCACGATAAAAGTAAATAAAAAGACAGAAGTTTTATGAGAAATATCTATATATATCCACATACGTCCTCTTGTATTTTGACCCAAAAAAAAGCCCCGGAATCTTTGCGTCTCGCGACCTGTGACTACACATTCAGTTGCTTAGGGTATGTTGGGATACCATGATGATTATTGTACAGTGTTTTTAAAAGGCCGTGGTGTTTTTCTCCAAAAGTACTTCCATAATATCATAGTAAGTATTTTTGGTCAATGATAGTTTGGTCTTTTATGATATTTATATTAAACATATTTTTTAATATATTAAATATTAACTGGGATACCATGATGATTATTGTACAGTGTTTTTAAAAGGCCGTGGTGTTTTTCTCCAAAAGTACTTCCATAATATCATAGTAAGTATTTTTGGTCAATGATAGTTTGGTCTTTTATGATATTTATATTAAACATATTTTTTAATATATTAAATATTAACT